GGATGGGGGTGGATTAGATGCTGGGGTCGATGAGCCTCAAGCAGATCTGCAGGAGCCGGTCCCAGCAGCTGCCTGAACTGCCCGATCTCTCCCAGAAGAGAGAAGGAGGCCTCGGGAGAGAACCAGCGCTCGCCCTCCAGCGCCGCCTCCAGCCTCACGGTGGCCCCCGCGCTCTCGCTGCTGGGCCTCCGCGTTCTGCTGCTCTGAGATCCAGGGAAGTCCCCGGTGAGGAGGGGGCAGCCCCGGGGAGACGAAGGCCGGGAGGGGTGGCCGGGAGTCAGGGACTCGGAGGTGTCAGGGCCCGGGAGAGGGGCTGCGGGGGAGGGAGAGGAAGGATGGGGCCCGGGAGGGGAGGGACCCCTGTTCTGTGTGCCTGGAGTGTGCCCTGAGTCCCTCTTATCTTGTCTCTTAGGCCACAGGCTGGACTGGTCTGGTTCCCCTGTGGCCGCTCCGACGTTCCCTTGACCTGGCCCTTTCTGAAAGGGACACGGGCATCACGGTTGGGGAGGGCACGGGGTTGCAGTGGGGACCCATGGAGCAGCCGCTGGGGTGGAGAAGCCGCTGGATTGACGGGGGGCTGCTTCCCCCAGAGCCGGGTGCAGAATGAGGCCCCCTCCCCCTCCCTGCTCCTCCTCTCCCCTCCTCCTCCTGGGCTTGGGCATGGGGGTGGCACCTGCTTCTTGCTGTCATGGTTTGGGGGGGTGGGTAGCTTTCATTCGGGAATCTTCGAGCGCCAAAAAATAAACACCCCTTTGGGAGGGACAGACTTACTCTCAAGTTTCTGGAGTGTCATTGTGTCATCGCTAAGCATCTGGGGACTCCCCTGCAGGTAAGGGTGGACACCTGTTGACATCTGCACCTAGCCTTCCCTGATCCAGAGTGTCTTCAGGAACCCCCAGGGATTGGGCAGCCACCACCCCAGTGCCTCCCTGGCCCTGCTCGCCGCTCGGATCATTGTAAGGACTCTGCACCCCATCACAGCTCACTGTGTGCCCAGAGCTGTATTCTCATCTCCTCCCTGGATCCCCTCCTGATTCCTGTGGTTCCAATGAGGACACTGAGGTTGTATGAAGGTCACCTTGTCCTGCTTCCCCCTCCCCACCTTAGTCCTTTTTGAGTTGCTACAACAGAATTCCACAGGCTGAGAAATTTATAAAGAACAGAAATCTATTTGGCTCACGGTTCTGGAAACTGGGAAGTCCAGGATTGAGGGGACTTGTCTGGCGAGGACCTTCTTGCTGCTCATAACATGGCAGAAGGCATCACATGCACAAGAGAGAGGGAGAGGGCCAGGAGGGGCCACATTCACTTTCATAACAAACCCACTCCCACAACGACAACATTAGTCCATTCAAGAGGGCGGAGTTCTCGTGACCCAAACACCTCCCAACACTGTTGCACTGGGGCTAAGTTTCCAACATATGAACTTTGGGGGACACGTGCAAACCATAGCATTCACCCTTGGCCCCCCAAATTCATGTCCTTCTCGCAATGCAAAATACATTCATTCCNGTAGCCCAGCCTAAGATGGCACCCCCAGAGAGAGACTTACGTTTGGATGAGCCAGTGGTGGGTGCGGAGAGCCAGCGCCGGAGAAAACGGACAAGGGCGAAGTGTCAGCAGCGGGAATCGCCGAGAGAGTGAAGGAGGTCGGAGAAGGAGTCCCCTCGGGTAAGGGGTGAGCTCCTCCCGGGTTTCGGCCCAATGAAAGGACAACAGGACCCGAGCTGACAGTTCACCAGAGAAGTTCCACTTTATTCGGGGGAGAAGCACACATTTATATAGAGCAGGGTTCCGGGAGAGGGTGGTTAGTACACGGGGCGGTAGTTGATTGGCCGGGGGCGGGTAATGATTTCTGATAGGCTGCACCTTGGCGCCGGTGAGATTGTTAGGACCCAGAAGAGAAAAGGGCCATGTTTTAGGGAGTGCCTCCTTTGGAGTCTTCTATGGGGCCTTACAGTAAGGACTCTGCACCCCATCACAGCTCACTGTGTGCCCAGGGCTGTATTCTCATCTCCTCCCTGGATCCCCTCCTGATTCCTGTGGTTCCAATGAGGACACTGAGGTTGTATGAAGGTCACCTTGTCCTGCTCCCCCCTCCCCACCTTAGTCCGTTTTGAGTTGCTACAACAGAATCCCACAGGCTGAGAAATTTATAAAGAACAGAAATCTATTTGGCTCACGGTTCTGGAAACTGGGAAGTCCAGGATTGAGGGGACTTGTCTGGCGAGGACCTTCTTGCTGCTCATAACATGGCAGAAGGCATCACATGCACAAGAGAGAGGGAGAGGGCCAGGAGGGGCCACATTCACTTTCATAACAAACCCACTCCCACAACGACAACATTAGTCCATTCAAGAGGGCGGAGTTCTCGTGACCCAAACACCTCCCAACACTGTTGCACTGGGGTTAAGTTTCCAACACAGGAACTTTGGGGGACACGTGCAAACCACAGCATTCACCCTTGGCCCCCCAAATTCATGTCCTTCTCGCAATGCAAAATACATTCATTCC